CGCCCGCCCGACTTCGGCGCCCATGCTACCGACTATACTAAAGAATCTGACGACCACATCCGTGAAGCAGATGAAATAGCTTTTCCGATCCGTACTACTCCAACGGGCAATCAGCCACGGCAGAACTGGATAAGCTATGCCGCGCAGGCTCCTTCGGCAGCTCCTGCGCCGCGTCAATCGGGCAAGCTTGCATGCTCTCTTTTTTGTCTGGCAGCTATTGCAGGCAGCAGTGACTACATCCTCAGGACCAACGCCTGCTTTCCAGTGCCTCCCACTTTGCACCGCGGAGTTGCAGCGCTCGCGCCCGCGGAAGGCCCACCCCGCAGGAGACGGCCTCGCTTTTACGTCGGCAAGCTCAGATCCGACAGCAGAAGGGCACGCGACACAGGATGGGACCTCTTAGGCTCCTTGCTCGGCATGAGTGCTCCGATATAGAGGCCATCGTGACGCTGCCCCCATGCGGACCTCCAGCTGGTCCCCTCCACCGGATCCTTGTGGCCCCCACTATTGGCCGTGTGGGACTTCTTGCAGGGTACCAAGGCTTGCCTACTGGCACATCGGGGCCTACTCCTACATCATACCACAGCCCTCATTAGGCAGGCCGCTACTGCTGACTCCCTGGCTCATTGTGCTAACCTGGCCAATGAAGTATCCAGTGCCTGGTCCAAACATCAGTATGAGGTGTGTTTCGCCGAACTCAGAGGCGTGGGCATAGGGTCCCAAAAACAATTTTCAGCAAGTGCACTACCTGCACCATGGCTACCACACATGTGGGAGCGGCGGACAGGTGGCCTCGCCACTTCGCAGATGACGGAGTAGGCATTGTGGCCCCAATATGTGAAGCTAGTGCACTTCGGGCTCAAATCCCAGCCCTACCAGACAGCCTCGCGCACATCATTCCGCAGAGCGAAGTTTTTCCTGCCCACGCTCGCCTCCGTCCAGCAGGCGTGCAAGGCTGCGAGAGCTTCAGCTGCCAGCCTGGATGGTATCCCAGGCGCGCTGCTCAGGAAGTTCGGCCCCGCCATCGCATCCCATTATTTCCCTGTCGTGGCAGCATCCGTGCTACGGCAGGAAGAACCACTACAATGAAAAGGAGGGAACAACTGAAACAGATGGAAACAGAAGACCAATGCAGCTAAGTGTAAGAACCATGGGGCAGTCCTGACATCCCCCCAGGTGGGCAAGAACTACAGCAATCTACTACGCGACCCTATCGCGCGTGCAGGAGTTCGAGGGTGGAAGGGTCGATCTGGCAGCGCTCGCACTACGCCTGTTTCAAGAGGTAGCGCGTGCAACGTGCACCTCGGCTCCTTTTGCCATGATTGATGCGGTCTCTGCTTTCTATCGTGCTATTCGGGAGCTAGTCCTGCAGCTTGGCACTAGCGATGCGGAGCTTCGCCACATCCTCCGCACGGCAGGACTACCAGAGGCGGCAGTGGAGGACCTCAAGACACACATTGCCACGCATCCCACCTTACTTGAGGCTGCGGGTGTTTCCCAACATGTGAGGGCCCTAGTCGCGGACAGCTACCATTCCATTTGGTCTTGGCGCCCGGGGGCCATGTCTGTCGCCTTTACCTTGTCAGGGGCGGTAGCAGGGCAACAACTTTGGGACGTGGTTTTCATTTACGTTATGTCTGCGCGTGTCAAGGAGGCCCAAGCCAGCTTGATCATGACCCCTATCAAGTTCCATCGCAGCCTCTTACAGATGTTCCACGAGATCCCCGACCGGATGCAAGGATATCTACGCATCTCGTTATTCGACGATGGGGCCTTCGCACTACTGGGACCTGCCTTGCATTTGCTACAGGTGGCGCCGAAGGTGGTGGAGATAGCGGCCGCAAGCTTCGTGCGCAGAGGACTACAGCTCCACCATGCAGAAGGGAAGACAGAGGTGCTGTTTCAACCGCGGGGGGAGGGATCTCGCGCTGCCAAGCATCTCTTGTGACGCGACTTGCAGGGTCAATTTGGCATCGACTCACCTTCGCTGGGGCAGTTCATTTTCAAGGCTGTGCGCCGATGCCCGCATCTGTGCACCGACCTAGACGAGCTCGCATCCATAGGTCCCGAGCTTGCGCACAGAGAGGCATCAGTCCAGCAATCCTCCCAACAGCTGGGGCGACGCATTTTTGCGACTAATCATACCCTACCAAGGTTGGAGGCCCTACATCTTACGGATGTTCCGATGTTCTCTGGCTTGCTCTCAATGCAGGGACATGGCCACAACTCGCGGCTGCGCGGCGCACCCCCTTACAGCATGTGGTGATCAACAAGTGCCGACGTGTTTTGTGCCTACCGCAAGGCACGCAGGATACAGCGCGCGACACGTATGTCTTGGCACGAGCACAACGAGCCACGCTCACCACATTTTTGAGGATACACAGGCTGCGACCACTAGGCCGCCTCGTGCATCGCGGTACGTACCCGCTGCGCGGGCTCGTTTGCACATGTGTACCGCGCGGCACAGGAGCGCCGCGGAACATCATGGCTGCATCGCATATTTGATGACTTGGGCTGGCTACGCACGGTACATGTTAAGCTGCGCTGCATGCGCTGCATGCCCAGCCCGACGGATGACTTTGCCAAGTGGGAAGAACACATTTTGTGCTCACCATCAGCGTGGCGGCGCACGCTGGACACCGCCGCGCGAGCTGAGTCGAACGCCCGCGCGCGAGCTGCCCTGGCACATAAGGCTTCATATATTGCTTTCGAGATGGCGCGGCCTACTGGCGCCCCCGTGCCAATTACAGGCCCGACGCATGCATTCTTCCCAACTCCTGCCCCGACTCCCGAAGTACCATGTATGCGTCGTACGGTTCATGCCTTTCTTGCTAAGGGACTCCGGCAGCGCCTTATACGTGCACATTACAGCTGTGTGGATATCGTATCGAGATTTATGGGGGAGGGCTCTTGACGCACGTCTTGTTCCACATCCTTCTCTACCAGGCGGGCCCTTCGTAACTATCTAGCCTACGGCGCCCCACGCTGTTGCCTTGCTTACTTTCTGCACGGCACTTTGCTCAGTGCCGGCCGAGCCGAGGGGGTCAAGCAGCAGGAGGTCAAGAACCTTGCGCGACAAAAAAGAGTTGGTCTCGGGCGCTGGAGGAGCGCCTATCCAGCACGCGTGATCATACCGCCTGACGGCTTATACTTCGCCGCCATGCTCGTGGCCCCCCACTTCACTGAGAGCGAGGCGCTAGAGCTACTACGTAGCCCAGGAGCGCGTTATGAATTTACCCTAGATGCCCTCTCCCAGTACCAAGCTCTGCTTGCAGATTCCGACAGAGAGAAGACACCGCCAGCCCAACCACAAGTCGCCGACAGATACTGGAGATACCGGCCCCAGGACTTCACAGGCTGGGCGATGGAGAAGGCTCCGTACCGCATCTATCGCACCACCATCTTCATCCTCAACCTACTTTTTCAGGCCAGCGTCGACACGGCGACATCCAGACCTGGATGGAGGGTCACAACACATCGGCATACTAGGAAGTCGTCATGCTCAGCGTGGACATTGCCATCACTGCGGAGTTTGGTGACCCTGCCAGACAGACCACTATCGACACTTGGACCGAACACATCCTGGCCAGGAGAGCGTGGAACACGGGGGGGGGAAACAATGTGAAACATGGGGCGCAGCCAGATGGCTCGAGGGCCCCCCCCCGTAAGAACCCATGCCTGGGTCTGGGGGGTGCCAGCTGTGACCGACCACCAGTCCCAACAACTCGATGTGAGCAGCAGCCTACTATGGAGCACGGTTCGCTTGATTGCGTGTCACGTCAAAGCTGGCACGACTGTGTGGATGGAGCACCCGCAGCCCGCACGGTGGCGTTCGCAAGCTCCCTCGAGCTTCTCCTGGAACCCCTTGAGGCTCTACAATCCAGCCCGGTGTGTTACACGGCCAATTTTTGACCAATGTGTGCATCGCGTTTGCAGCCCAGAGGACATTGGGAACGCCCCGACAAGGCTCCTTGGATTTCGCATGCCCACCCTGGTCTCCAACCTGCTCAGCGCTGGAACCCGAGGGCGTTGTAACCACCCCAAAGGATCCCATCTCTCGCTCCATGGCAAGGCCGACCAGGGGACTTTTCGAACAAATCGGAAGAAAACATACCCGCCCAACATGTGCCGACACATTGCATCAGCCATAGCTGATACTATCCAGTCTCAGTTTGCTCCACCATTTGAATGCGACGTGGGCGCAGAAGATTCCGACCTGGCTCTTGTCGATGATCTCTGGACTTCCTATTGCAAAGAGATTGGAGGGGATTTTTCTGAAGCGCCCGCCGCCGCCGTCGCTGCCTTTCCCGCCCCCCCCCCTCCCCCCTTCAGCGAGGAACAGATCGCCAGAATTGCACCGAACCGCCAGGCCGCCCGCGCCCGCAAGGCCGAGAAGGCCGAGGTGGAGGCGCAGCGCAGGGCGCCATGGAGAGGGAGGCTGTTTTTCGCCTCCCATTTCTCCCCTGGCCCCTGCCTTTTTCCCTAGGCCCCACATGTCGGCCTCAACTGGACATGAGCACGGCGACGCCGCCAACGCCACCGTCCCACCACCACCTCCCTCCTCCCTTCTTCCTCCCTCCTCCCTCTTCCCTCCTCCCCCCTCCCTCTTCCCTCCCTTCTCATCCCTCCTCCTCCCTTCTCCTCCCTCGACCGATCTCCTCCCCACTCCACCCACCTACTCGCCGTCGTTCGGCATGGCTCGATCGCCCGTCGTGCGAGCGGCTCGGCACGTTCCTCTAAAATCATTGCGATCAGCACTCTACCAAGGCAGCGCGGCCAGCCAGCCCCAGAGCCCAAAGGCCCAAACCCCGCACAACCAAAACCCCCTCGAGTCATGGCAGAAATCTCCACGGGAGGGTTTTCTTCATTTTTGGCCTCCTGGGGATCTTACTGGGCGTCGGGGCCGTCAAAAACAACGTAGGATGAAAAACCGGTCCTGGGGAATAGGTCGAGACTTTTCGGGGTCGACGTTATGACAACAATCATGACGTCGGGGGCCCGTGAAGATCGACAGGCCAGGCTGAAGCTGTCAAGCCGCGCTGGCCGATACTGCCCGCAGCAGTTGCGGCTCGAGGAGGTGCGGGTTCTCCTTGAGCGCGCCAGCGCGTGCTGGGGCTTCGCAGGTCGCTCATGGCGCGCTGCAGCACTGGGCTGGTGGACTTTTCCGACGACGAGTCGAGCCTCGGCAGCGAGCCGCCGTCGGAGGCGACGCCGGTGCAGGGCGTGTCTTTTTCGCCAGAGTGGCCCGCGTGCCCCGAGCGGAGCTGGCTGGAGAGCCTCCGGGGCGAGCTGCGGCACGCGTCGCTGGAGCAGATGCGGAAGCTGCGGGAGTGCGCGGGGGCGGCGGCGGAAGGAGGCCCAGCATGGAGAGCCCAAGATCACGAGGGGCGCTGGCCAGACCTTCGATCGATCGGAAAGAGTCACACTGAAGGGAAGCCGTGGTCGGCGATGTTCAAGCGATCGCAAATATGGATCAAAGGGGCGTGGCTTCGCGACGGGCTTCCTTCCCATGGGGAACCGCGGATTTCGGCTGCCGAGTTCGAGGCGGCGCCGGCCACATTTGGGGCAGGGCAAATTGTCCGATCCATGGATTTGGCGACCGCGCGCCAAATCCATAGATCGCTGATCCATGTTGGCGCGCCCCCGAGATTTGGGGGGGAGCGCCGCTGTCTTGTCCAGGCCTGGGGCCCCGTGTACAGTGGTGTCGCGCTCCAAGAAACCATATGCTTTTCGTAAGGGTATCCTTGGTTTCTTCGCTCCGCGCGCCTCGCGGTGACTTGCCGCAGCCGTTGAAGAAGCTGATGCGCTCAGGGTGCTCAAGGTTTCCCTTGAGGTGCACCCTGCGCGCGGGTTTCCAGGGTCTGGTTTCTTGCGAGGGTTTCTTTCGGCCGCGCCCGCACTGTATACTAAGAGCCCGGAGCCCTCGTGTGCCCCCGCCCCGCCCATCCGAGCAACGCCTGGGTCGAGACCTTTAGGCCCGTGCGCAGGCATCGGCATCGGCTCTATAGGCGGAGCCCCGCTCGGATGATGATGTTCCAACCTGCACGCTGTTCACTTCTAATTATTCGCCAGGTCTTTGATTTTTGGGGGCCAAGATCCTTTTATTTCTAAGTGTTAAATCCTGGGCCTCTGATCTCTTAGCAGACACGAGCACACGTAGAAATGAACACGATTAGAAATGAACGACGTGGTATTCTAGCCTTGATCACCAGAAAGAAGTTCGAGCACCAGGAATGTACAGGAACTGGAGGGTTTTCACGTGTCGGGCCCTGGGATGCGATACTCGTTTGACACTGTTTCGATATTTCTCCGGGTGCTCCAGCTTGCTTCTGGGATGTGGTCTTTGAGTACGATGGGAATAACATGACGCTCGGAGTTCCCGTGCTGGCTCGGACGGCGCCTGGCGCGCCGCCGACGGGAGCCCCTGCCGATCCGCGAAGCCCGCGTTCTGTGACCTCCGGGGGTTTCGATGCGTGCGCCGCCGTGCTCCGCCGCAGCCCCCTCCCCGCGAGGCCCCGCCGACGGGCTGGGCAGCGCCGCCGACAGCTTCCTGGACGCCGTCCAGCGCCTGGCCGCTGCCGAGTGGGACGGCATGGCCCGCCCCTCCTCCGCCGCGACCGCCGAGAAGCCGCCTCAGCTGCCGCCCGCCGGCAGCGCTCCGGGCCTGCCGCCGCCGCCCCGCGCGGCGGCCGCCCAGCCCTGCACGACGCCGCCCCGGGCGCCGCCCTGCGCGGGCCACGCCGGCAGCGCCGCGGGCGCCCGCGGCGCGGCCCCGGCGCCGAGGGCCCGGAGCGAGGAGGCCACCTTCCAGCAGGCCCTGCTCGAGATCGTCAAGGCCCGAGGGGTGGGCAACGCGCGGAGACGCGGGCATGTGTCTATATAGGCCTCTCGATGGAACAGGGGAAGTCAAAACGCTAGAAGCATAGGCTTTTCGCGTACCGCGCGGATGTCTTGGATCCGCGCCAGGCCCCCCCAGCTGCGCCTCCGGCGCCGCCCCTGGCGCGCTCCGCGCGGAGCACCAAAAGTTTATGTTTATGTAGTTGTTTCTTCTTCTAGTCTAGGCCTCTCAGATGGGGTCGGAGTAGACGGGGTTGGAGGATCGCACCGCATCGCCGAGGCATCGGCGATGCGGCTCAATGTGGAGCCCAGTTTTCTCCACACCGACCTCGCCGATGCATCACAGGCGTCTCCGATGTATCGCCAACGCATCGGCGATGCATCAACGCTTCGGCGCGATCCTCCGACACCATCTCGCCCGATCCCATCTGAATCCTTTTCTTTTTGGAGGTCCGTGCGGACTGCTTAGGGTCGGCGCTGCGCCCCTTCCCCACACTCTGCACGGCGGCGTATCTGGCCCCGCCCACCGGCGCGCTCCGATCCCTGGGGGAGGGGTGGGAGGAGGGGTGTCTGGAGCCCCAGACCCTTCCTCGCGTCGCGAAAAAATCGTCACGGGAGGTTTTTCTTTATTTTCGGCCTCCAGAGGCCCTCGCCGGGCCTTGGGACCGTCAAACAACGACTCGGGAGGAAGAACCGGTCTCCTAGAAAGGGCCCAGACTTCTCAGGGCGACGTCATGAAAAAACCGTGACGTCGGGGGTTTGGAGTGGTCTCATGTCGCCGCGACGGTTGTTCTGACGCGCGGCCTTGCGTCTGGGGGAGTGGGCCGCGGGCCCCAGTGCAAGCGCCGCCTCGGGCGCGGTGGGTTTTCTGCGGGGTCTGCCGCGGTGCCGGCGTCGTCTGCTGTGGCGCGTGACGCAGGGCTTGCCGTTGGTTTGCCGTGGTGCCGGCGTCGTCCACTTGGTCGCGTCGAGAACCGAGGGCGCGGCGACTCATGGACTCTGCGCAGACATGCGAAAGAGTGGCACTACGTTTGTACTGTCACTCGGCCTTTGAGTCGTGAGGGACGGGGCGATGCCGATTCCGCCCCTCTCCAGCTGAGGGCTCCCGTCGCGCGTCCTGGCCAGAAGTCCGAGGCAAATGAAGCCGTGGCGACGCGAGCTCCCTCACCATCAGGAGGCCCAACGAGACAAAAGCCCTGAGATCGGACGTTACCAAGAAGTCGAAAGAGTTGCAAGGCCACGACAAACCATGGCCAGAGCCCCAGACCCCACCGTTCTGCTGCATGCTTCGAGCGGGATCGGCCAGGAATGGCCTCGGGGCCTGAAACAAGGCAGAGATTAGCTCCCTTACGGAAGACATGCGACGCCAGGACTTCAGGAAGCGAAGGAATGGTGCCGGTATGGGCGGGCCTCCCCTCTGACAGGAGATGTCGCCGGACGCACGCGGCTTCCGCTTCGAGGCGGCCGCCGCCAGCGACACCCTGCAGCACGCGTTCGACGAAAGCCAGCAGCTGCGGCGCGCACTGGACGAGGCGCTCTCGCCGCTGTGCGTGCAGATGTCCCGGGCGGCCGACCACACTGGCGACGCCACGTCCGAGCTCGTGCAGAGGCTCGAGACACCACAAATCACTAGAGCCGAACCTTTCGGAGGGCCGCACGGAGTTCTTGGATCCGCACTCGGACCCCCTGGCGGCGCCTCCGGCGCCGCTCCTAGCGCGTTCCGCGCACCAGGGAGGGTGTCCAGCGCAGATCAAAGAGATCCGCGTGGATCGTCGAAAGTATTTGTTTCTGCCGTTGCTTCGTCCTCCAGAGGCGGCGGTCCATCGTCAGGGTGAACCCTCCGCCTTCGTGGGCTGAGCAGCCTCTCCAGGCGAGGTGAGCGCTCTTCCTTCCTGGGCCGAGCTCCTCTCCGTCTAATTCGTGCCGTCCTTGCGCGGCGGTGTTGTCCATGCGCCGTGGACGCGAGTGGGCCACTGTGAGCAGTGTTGTATGCATCGGCTGCTCGTGCCCTTACGGCCGCAGCCAGGCCATTTGCGTCCTGGGGGTCCCAGCCATACCTGCACGGGGCTGGACACACTGGGGCCAATCGAGTGATTATGCACTAGTCGTAGGATATGCTTTGCACGCCTTCCATGAAGGGATCGCCTGCAGTTGCCGCGGATGGCCAGCATCTGGACGTGCAGCATGATGCACGCAACTTTTTGTCATTAGGTGGGTTCGGACGCGCCAGTTTGACAGATACTTCTGGTGCAGCTTGATGACTGCCCCGGGTCGGGCGCAGGGGAATTTGATTTTGCGGGCAGTCCTGTTGCCGCGCTAGAGATCGCACCCTGACCGTGTGATGATCTGTGCTCGGGCCTATCTCGCGTGGCGTTGCGGCTCCTTGAATTCGAAGCGGGCCGCCGAATTCCAGAGATTTACCGCACGACCCACTGCCGTGTGTCTGGTGAGCAAAATCTTGCCAGACCATTGACTGAACAACTGCGAAGACGTGACCGGAGGAGGATGAGGAGGAGGAGGAGGAGGGCGAGAAATCATCACGACTATTGTTGCAACAGCCTGTCGCTTTCAAGGAGCTGGGGAGTTGTCACCTCACTCTTAGCGGAAGCTGGCCGAGGTAAAGGAGGGTGGCCTCGGCAGCGGAAGTGTTGACGGAAGCGAGCGTTGCTCACACCTAGAGAGGCCATTGCTAGCGTACGTTTATCCAGGCTCCTGGAGGCTGTCATACGAAGCGAGGGGGGGGCATCTGATGGACAAGACGAGGAGGACGATGCTCGACTGATGCATCGTCCGCAGCCCTCCTCCAGCACAGTCGCAGGGGGAACGTGTGTTGGGTATCGGGGCTGCTTCCACAGGAATGACAGCTGTTGGCGGCCACTCCCCCGGGACGCCCCTCTTCCAACGCTTCCCGGGCGAAGGACTGCATCCCAGATCTGTCTCCGCCGCCGAGGCCGCCCGTCCCGGTGGCACGTCTGGGTGTGCCGTCTCTTCCCCCACGGTGGCACGTCTCTACCCCCACGGTGGCACGTCTGGGTGCGCATGTTCTGGCCGCCGCGGGACATCACCAGCCCAGAACATATCCCCATCCCTGTGCTGGGCATCTCCTCATCACGATGCCAATCTTAGGGGTTCCCTTACTTTTCGAGGGCGGATCCCCAAGATTGTCATCGCCTTCTGGCGTGTCAAGCTCAGGGGTAGGGATCAGTTCGAGGCTGGAAGGACAGGCGTCCCCCGACGGCGGAGCAGTTAATGCTGTACCGTGACTCGGCCGCCCAAAAGAGCACCCGGGGCCCCCTCTCCGGAGCGAGCGCTGGCAGGGGAGCTCGGCGCGGGCGCTGCCCCATTCATATGGCCACGGGTTAAGTCTCGGGCCTGTCCCTCTACAGGGGGGAATCTTTCCAAAAATAGTCAAAAATAGTCGGGGGACTATTTGTTTAGTATGTTTTGTTACCTTTTGGGTGCATATGTGGGTGGCTATTGTTTTATTATTGTTGTGTTACCTTTTTAGGGCATTTTTGGGGTATGTCTTACTCTTCGTCGAAGATCGCCCTGTAGGGGGGACACGCCCGACATGAGCCAAGGGGGCAGCTCGGAGCCCGAGGCCCTGGGCACGGGGGGGCGCGGCGCCGCCCCTTGGCGGCCTCGTCGACGAGGGCTCTTGCGCAGAGCTGGCAGCGCCTCGGGAGCGGGGCCTCGCCGTCCCCGCCCCGCTCGCAGGCTCTCCCGGGCTCCTGGGCGCTCTCCGTGCGCCTTCTCCCCCCCTCCCTCGTCCTCTGTCCCCCTGCTCCTCGCTCCCGACCGTCACCTCCCCTGCTCCTCGCCCCCTCGCTCCCCTGCTCCTCGCCTCCCCTGCTCCTCGCTCCCCCTGTTGGCAGGCCCCACTCCTCCCCCCCAATTCATCGCGCTCGACCTTCGCCGTCTTCCTCGTGACCTCGCTCACCCTTCTCCGAAGCAGACAAGGAAGAAGGCACACTTGTCTCGATAATCGCTCCTCCCCTGGGGGGGATTCAGGAGGTCTTTCACCCTGCGCCTTCGTGGTCACAAGGAGGAGCAAAGAGTGTCCGCCGCCGCTGTCGTCGTCACCCAGCTCTTAGCTGCCTCGGGGCTTTGGAGAACCGTCTCCTTGCCACGGGATGCCGCCCAAAAAGGCATGGGAAGAACTCGAGGGGATCCAGGGAGCGGGTCGCGCCCCCCAAAAACAGTCACGCCAGACCTTCGGGGGCAACGCCAGAGGGGGATGGGCTCATGGGGGAACGCACCGAACCCCAATCTTCCATTGATCGCCGGTACAGGCCCGATAGCCCCCACCTCACAGGAAGGTGAGCTCTCGCTGTCGGGCGCCTATCGCCGATCCATCGGCGATGCATCGCCGATACAGGCTCGATGGTTCCCCACCTAAGCCAGTCCCCCCTGCCGTGCCCTTTCACTCCCTCCCTCCCCTCCTCCACGATCCGCCTCCTCTTCCTCGACCCTCCTCCTCGCTCCCCGATCCTCCTCGATCCTCGCTCCTCCGCCTGTCGATCCTCCCTCCTCCTCCTCCTCCTCCTCCTCCCCCTCCCCCTCCCCTCCTCCTCCTCAACCTCCTCCTCCTCCTCCTCCTCCTCCTCCTCCTCCCCCTCCTCCTCCTCCTCCTCCTCCTCCTCCTCCTCCTCCTCCTCCTCCTCCTCCTCCCTCTCCCCTCCTCCTCCTCTCCTCCTCCTCCTCCTTTCTCCTCCTCCTCGGTCCCAGATCCCCCCCCCCTCTCCCCCCCCCCTGCGCAGGCCCACGCGGGGCCCGACTCGCGGCACACCACATGACAGCTGCGGCAGGCCGCGGCGGCATGGCGGAGGCGGCCTCTCCCGGCGGGAGGCCGCGACGGCTGAAAGGCCGCGTCCCGCGCGCGCTGCCACCCGAGACGCTCCGGGAAGGGCCGCGCCGTCGAGGGTCGAGGGAGTTGCCATCTCCCCTCCTCCTCCTCCTCCTCCTCCTCCTCCTCCTCCTCCTCCTCCTCCTCCTCCTCCTCCTCCTCCTCCTCCCACCTCCTCTCCTCCTCCTCCTCCTCCTCCTCCTCCTCCTCCTCCTCCTCCTCCTCCTCCCTCTTCTCCTGCTTCTCCTCCTTCCTGGTGCCTCCCCTCTCTGCGTCCTCCTGCTCCTCCTCCCCCCTTTTTCCCCTGCTCCTCCTCCTCCCCCCCCCGACGGCTCCGCGCGCTGTCACCTGAGGCGCTCCAGAGGGGGCCGCGCCTGCGAGGGTCGAGAAAGTTGCCCATCTCCTCCTCGGCGGAAGCGCGGCGGAGGTTGGCGGAAGCAAAGCTCGAGGCCTCCCAGATGGGGTCCGAGTAGATGGGGTCGGAGGAGCGCGCCGCATTGCCGATGCATTGCCGATGTGGCCCGATTTGGAGCCCGATTTGCGTCACGTCGGCGTCGGCGATGCATCGCCGACGTCCACGATGCATCGCTGGAGCATCGCCGATGCATCGCCGATGCATCGGCGACGCGGCGCGATCCTCCGAGCCCATCTACTCCGACGCCATCTAGGAGGCCTCTGGAAACGAGGACCGCTCCGGCGGCGGAAGCTCGGTGGAGGGCGGTGGACGTGAAGAATGCGCCCCCAAGAAGCCAGGTTTTTCCGTTGGATGCAGGGGCTCCGGAAGCGGCGGGAAGACAAAAGCAAGGTGTTTGGTCTTCTCGCCTTGTCGCTTCCGGTTAGCTTTTGAGGCGTCCAGACAGCTCCCAGACGTCTCCAACTGAGTCTCCAGGCGAGCCCCAAAGAGGCCCAAGGCTGGCGCAACAGGGCCAGGAGATGGCGAAACTCCACCCGGAGAGTGGGGCCCAAGAATGGACAAATGCAGGACAATCATTGGAAAAGCGAGTTTTTTGGTCTTCCCGCCCTGTCGCTTCCGATTGGCTCTCGAGGCGTCGAGACAGCTCCAAGACGTCTCCACATGAGTCCCCTTACGAGCCCCAAAGAGGTCCAAGGCTGGCGCAACAAGGCTGGCGCAACAGGGCCCAGAGACTGGGAAAAGCAGAGAAAACGCCATGGAAAAGCTGTGTGCGGCCTTCTCGTTGTTTCACTTCCGGCTGACTCGGGGGGCGTCCAGACGACCCCAGGCAAGGCAGGTGCGAGGATTCGAAAGTCTCTTGGGGGAGGGCGGGGGGTGGCGCTCCCCGGCACTATAGGGCCCGGAGAAGGGGGACCCATAGATGGACGAATGTAGGACAATCATTGGAAAAGCAAGGTGTTTGGTTTTCTCGTCTTGTCGCTCCCGTTTGGCTCTTGAGGCGTCCAGATGCCCCCAAGACGGCTCCAGATCAGTCCCCAGACGAGCCCCAAAGGGGCCCAAGGCTGGCGCAACAGGGCCCGGAGAGTGGGAAAAGCAAAGAAAACGCAGTAACAAAAACCATGCTTTCGGTTTTCTCGCTTGTGCACTATCGATTCACTCGGGGGGCGTCAAGACGACCCCAGGATGGCCACAGCAAGGCGCAAGACAGGCCCGAGGAGGCGAAATTCTTTTGGGGGGGGGCGCGATGGGGTGTGGGCTCTCCGGTCGTATAAGAAATGTAACAGGAATACATACACATATATATATATATATACATGTATACAGACATACTTACAAACATACATACATACATACATGCATGCATGCATGCATACATACATGCATACATACACACATACACACATACACACATACATACACACATCTATATATATATATATATATATAGATATGTGTGTGTTACGTCATTCGCCGAGCGAATTTGGCCCTCGTTGACAACACACGTGCGCCCGCCAAGGCTCTTCCCTGGAGGGCCGTGCTGCGCCACATGTACGAGCGATGTATGTATGTATGCACATATACATATATCTATATATATATATATAGAGAGAGAGATACATACATATACATATATACATATATATATATATATATATATATATTCAGACCTACAATCATATCGTTCGGCCCATCCCGCCACCGTGTCTGGGTTGTGGGTATGAAACCGATCGGATGTTCGTAGGGATCTCGTGGGAGGCCTGTCGGGGGTCTCTTGGAGGCAGTTCAGGCGCCTGTTAGGGGCTTCGGGGGGGCCCCTTGGCGCCTCTGTTAGGTCTCTTTGGGGCCTCTTGGGGGCTCTTTGGGGCCTCTGAGGGGCCTCTTAGGGGCTGAGGGGGGCCTCTTGGCGCCTCTTTTGGGCCTCTTGGGTGCCTCTTGGGAGCTCTTGGGGGCCTCTTGGGGGCCTCGTGGGGCCTCGTGGGCGCCTCTTGGGGCCTCCTGGGGGCCTCTTGGAGCAGAAAACTGGAATTTTCGGTTCGCGTTCCCTCGTTTGAGCCCATTTGGGGTCCGTCTTGGGGCCGTCTTGGGGCAGTTGGGAGCCATCTCGGAGGCTTCTTGCGTCTTGGGGCGGTCTTGGGGGCCTCAAGGGCAGTCTGAAAGGGTCGGGAAGCAGAAAGGGCGAGAACGCCAAGATCATTCGAAACTTCAGGACAATCAATGATGTTTGCCTCTTGGGGCCCTCGTGGGAGGCCTCTTGG